CGATGAAATATGAAATCACAGCTCCCTGACACAAAAGTGGAATACCAACTCGAAAAGAAAAATCTCCACGTTGAGTAAGATCGATATACAAAATTGTATATTCACGCAACACAATTGTATATGACTATAGTCTAGTAACGAACAATAATACGTTAGCGGCGACCTCAACTCCATGTTTGCAAAAATTGATTTTTGCGAGTAACTACACCCAACCCAGGGACGGAGCCAGGATTCTTAATTACGGGGCCAAATTTTTTTCCAACACATGGTATTTAATAACATATATGGATAAAATACCATAACGCCCCCTAACTTAATGCCCTTCCCATTAGGGATGTCAATCCAACCCGTAACCATGGGTACCCTACCCGACCGTAACCGGTCAACGAGGGTAATTACCCGCTTTGACGGGTTAAGGGACGGGTACGGGTAATACCCGGTTTCAAAATAAAGGGTAGGGTACGGGTATGGTAATCGATAATACCCGCCCTGTTATACCCGCCCCGCTAACCAAATGATCAATTTCCCTTGAGAAATTTATTTTAGCTTGAGAAATTGAGTTTAGCTACCATTATTGATGATGAAGATGTAGACGATTATTATGTTTGTGTGGATTGTAGAAGCAAGAACAATTATTATGTATTTGTTGTTTTTATTTGTGTGGATTGTAGAAGCAAGAACAATTATTATGTATTTGTTGTTTTTATTTGTGTGGATTGTTGAAGCTAGAATAGTTACAATTATTGAGAATTTTTAATGGACAAGAGTATGTATATGTATATACGTGTATAAGTTCATAGTTTAGGATTCGTACCCATGGTTACCCGAATACCCGTGGTTACCCGGTGGGTAGGGTATGGTTATATAATTTTCATACCCGGTGGTTATTTGGTCGGGTATTTTAGAAAACTCTACCCGGCAGGCTAGGAGTTGGTATAAGGTAAACCCGCACCCGACCCTACCCATTGCCATCCCTACTTCCCATTCAACAAACTGGCTCCTATGAAATTCCTTCCACATCTGAAGAACTAGGGATGGCAATGGGGCGGGTTTGGGGCGGGTTTACCTAAACCATCCCCATCCCCATCTTCAAATACCCAAACCCATACCCGCCCCATACCCATGCGGGGGAATGTTTTGCAAACCCATCCCCATACCCGTGGGTTTCGGGTACCCATGGGTAATACCCATCCCCGTACATCCAACATTATACCTAAAACTTACAAAAAAAGTTTTAATTATAACCATAAACAAACCTATTATATCATGAAGTCAACAAAACACGATCATTTTCTAAATACGATTCAAAGCATATGATCCTAAAACATCCATTAATACATAATATAAACTACAATATTTTTTAAATTATTATGTTCTAACTCTTGATACATTTACTAAGTAATAATTAACTAACATAATCTTGTTGACAAGGGGGAAAATGAAAGAGTGGAAGGAGAATTGAGGGAAATGAATTAGGTTTTGATTAAGGTGGTTACTCAATTGCATTTCTACTATTTATTTTTTCGAGTTATCATCATTATCATTGATAGATTACAATTTAATCCACATATTCTTCGATATGTGAAGAAATTCTCTTGGGGGGGCAGGTATGGGGCGGGGGAGGCTAAAACCATACCCGCCCCATATCCATCAAACTTTTAGTGGGTTTTACCCATACCCGCCCCATACCCGGTCAAAGCGGGGATTCCCCGCGTTGACTGGGTCGGGGGCGGTCGGGTACCCGCGGCCATGGGTTTGATTGCCATCCCTATGAAGAACAATCAATCCTCAATGCTATGTAAGCCAAAACTCTGTAACCGAAAAGGATTACAAAATTTTCAGAATTTAGAAGAGAGAGAGTCATAGTCACTAAATGAAATTTATAATTCGGAGAGTGAGGCACTAAATAATGTGTAGAGTGTTAATATTAGAAAACGGATTACAAAACTCTGTTAATATTAGAAAACGGAGAGTGAGGCACTAAATAAATGAAATTTATAATTCGGAGAGTGAGGCACTAAATAGCATGTAGAGTGTTAATATTAGAAAACAGATTACAAAACTCTGTAGAGTGTTAATTACGGGGCCAAATTTTTTTCCAACACATGGTATTTTATAACATATATGGATAAAATACCATAACGCCCCCTAACTTAATGCCCTTCCCATTCAACAAACTGGCTCCTATGAAATTCCTTCCACACCTGAAGAATAATCAATCCTCAATGCTATGTAAGCCAAAACTCTCTAACCGAAAAGGATTACAAAATTTTCAGAATTTAGAAGAGAGAGAGTCATAGTCACTAAATGAAATTTATAATTCGGAGAGTGAGGCACTAAATAATATGTAGAGTGTTAATATTAGAAAACGGATTACAAAACTCTGTAACCCGAAAAGGATTACAAAATTTTCAGAATTTAGAAGAGAGAGAGTCATAGTCACTAAATGAAATTTACAATTCGGAGAGCGAGGCACTGAATAATATGTAGATTGTTAATATTAGAAAACGGATTGAGGTAGGCTGTGCTAAAAACTAAAATTGGCTTAAATAGAACGAGGTAGGATTCGAACCAAGAACCTTTCTCACATCTAGTAATTGTTGAGCCTTACAAGTTACAACCACCATGACATCTAAACTTAAAGCAATATATATACTTACTAGCTTTTACCCGACCCGTTGGTCGGATGAATTTTGTTTTATTTGATCAATTTTTTCATGTTTTAAAATAATTTGGGATCCTCTAAAATAGTTAATTCATTATTTCAAAGTATTCTTTATTGTATTTGTTGATTATGACATTAGCGATAATTAGTTCATATTATATGTGTTGATGAAGTCGTCCTAATTTACGGTTGTTTATATGTTTTTCTCATATTTTAGAAAAAAATTGCACTTCTTATTGTCGGATATGAATTGGAGTTAGAAGGGAATATATTGCCATTTAGAATTGATAGGAATTGAAGGAGTAGAACCATATCGAGTAAAACCAAGTGAGATTATTCTGCTAATTACTGCTACCCGACTCTTTGACCGAATTAGTTTGGTTTTGTGTTGATTAATTATATTTTTTTGTTCATTATCTTCTGAAATATTTTTGTTCTTAATTGTTACCTAAATAAGTCATTCGATCTTTTATATTTATTTTATGTTCTTGAAAACAAAAAATGTTCAACTTACCCTCACGTGATAGTCACGATTTCAATAAATTATCACCCTTATAAAATAAAAATCGAGTCCAACAAAAACTTGAGACTCATCATAACAACTCATGAGTATTCCGTTCTTTAATTTTGAAGTCATAAAAATTCTTATTAGGCTTCGAGATAGAATTTATAGTGTTTTAGTGCAATTGTTATATACGGAATTAACCTTTACATTCAACAGTCCTTCAAAACAAAACAAAAAAAGATGACACTAAACCGTACTAATCAACCCATGTAAAGCATGCTCTAAGAATATTATCTTCCCCTGGCTCTTGTAGCTCGCTCGATAAGTCGTAACTAAATAGGTAAGTCGTAAGGGAAACCGATCAAATTATATAGGTCTACAACAAAATCAAAGAATGCCTAGCTAGCTAGCAAGCTGCAATGGGGCTTCTGGGTGCCCTATCAGCGAGTTTTGTTGCAGGCTTGCGGCTACATCAACTCAATGGCCCTCCAATATGCAGTCGAGATGGAGATTGCAGATTCGATTCAAAGCCATGGCAAGCCCAGTTCTTGCAAGAGCTAGCCGCCGCTCTCAAAATCTCTTTGGTCAAAGCTCCATGCCTCCAACGCCTAATGCACAAATCGATTGTAATCTGCCATACCAACACATATATACATGTATAAATTAATAGGTAGGACCTGCACTGTACTATCCCGGGTGCAAAATGAACTAATGGTGTTCGGTCTAGGCTTTTGATTCTACAATTCCTTATTTTCAAACACACAGTAGTTTTTCTATTGTTTGCTTTAAGAATAAGAAAGCTATTAGTATGTTTATACAATTTCCTTATAAGTATGTTGTATTCATTGTCTAAAAAGGATGTTTATTACAGATTAACAGTGGCAGATAGCAATAATGTCAGAGCACCATCTACTCAGGCATCATTGCATCAACTAAAACTATGCAGAATTAATTAATTATGTTGATGAATTGAGAATGAGAAACATAAAAATGCCACAGCTTAGTAACTTCTCTGTTTAAAACCAAAACACAGCTAGTAGTGATAATCATAAAGCTATTTGGCCACCTACATCAACCAAAATTACAACATCACATAAATATTACTAACCTGATTAATAGTTCCTCAGTTCAATCTTGACAACGACCTAATCAAAAGTTTGTTCCACACTTTCTATTTGGATCATGTTGTATTGGTTTGTAAAGTGTTTGTCATATCTTGATTCTAAGAATCTAAATGGAGCTCCAACATAAAGAAAACATACTTGAACCCCAACCAGCCAAATACCATCTCTTCCCGATATCGTTTGCAGATATATTCCGACTTATGAACTTGAAAGTTACGATGATGATTGATGACCATTGTGCCCTCCCCTTGTTGTATCTCTTCTAAGCTGAGGTGATGGCCATTTTGGTAACGTAATGCTTTACCAAAGTCTAAGAGAACATAATAAAAGCTAAGACCATTGATTGTAGACAAACTAACAAAAACATAAAAGCCAGAATTGAGTAGGTTGAATTTTAAAGCAGTATGAAACCAAGTTACAAAAAGTAGGAAGGACAACAGCAAAGTATTAGGACCAAGAAACATTGACTCCTACAACCTATCCCTAGTTCCATCAATCATTCGAACCAACTAAACAACTCATATGTTTCTAGCATTCTCTTAGACAATGCCATCTATTCCAATGCAGACAACATAGAACAGATTAAATTACACAGCTTTGACTTGAGGCGAAAAAGTATTCGGACATCTAAAATGGAAATCATTTTCCCACTACGAATTAAATGAGCACTATGATGTCTTGAAGAGAAATGCTATCATAGACTCACTTAGCACAGTAAAACTGGTATCTCCTGATGACCAAAGAGTGCTAACAGCAAGAAGAAACAAAGAGAAGCATTGGCGAGCTCATCAAACCGGCCAAGCTTATCTTGAATCTTCTCTTTACCGAAAAATTTCACAGGGCAGCACCTAGCACGATAAGAAACGGGATAATGAAAACAGCAGACAGATGTTGGCCACACCTAGCAATAAAGACTTCAACACACACAACTCTACAAATTCAAGATAGAAATAGAAATATAAAATGTAGAATTTGAGAAAGCATTGAAAGGACTCAATTCAAGAAAAAGTGATTCTCGCATTCAAGTATTAATTGCTTCTATCTTCAAAACTTATGAATGGAAAGTGAAAAAATTAATTTTTAAAAGTAAAAAACAGGTTGTAAGTTGATCAAACTACTCAACCAAAACAGGAAACTCCCATGTTGTGAAAATGAATTCATTTATGTTCTGCAGACTGAAAAGCACGAAAATGCATCCAAATAGTCATCTCCAGAATCTTAAGTGATAGAGAATGGACGCCTGTAAAAATGGCAGCAGAAATTCCCCCCACAGTGTTAGCAACTAAGTTAGCAGAAAAAGTAGGATAGCTCACAGCAACAAACATAACAAATCCTCCTAAGTCTCAACTATAAATTATATTTTTTTACCATTCTGCATCCTTTATAGTTGAATGTGATAAACTCTTAAATATACTCTCTTGAAACTTGGTAACATTTCATAGTACTAATTTTTGTGTGGCTGGTCTGTTTATCACGTCGTAACTGATGCAACAATCTTGAGGTTTATGGTTGAGGGATGCTTTTGTTCAAAGTGATGATAAGCTTGCTACTTCTCAGTGCTTACAGGGATTTAGATATGCCTTGCAGCAGTAATGGGAATGCAGACAAAGACACAGAGGGATGCTTTTGTTACATCCTTACCTGGTTCCTGTCCTTTTGAACCTGCTCCATTATAGCAAACACACTACTCCAATATTCTCTGGATAGGGCTCTCAACTTTGTTTTTCAGGAATAGATTAAGTAAAAGCTTAGCTGAACTTATGCATCTGCAAACCAGTACTCTGGAACATCATCTTACCGAAAACATCTACCATAACGTGTCAAACTTATCATTGCTAAACTGCATCATGTCGGCATAGAACTTGACATAACTGTGCACAAAGAAAGCAGACTTAACCCTTAGATTACCTCACACTTAAACCATTTCCAGGGACAGTGGATGCACAACTGTGACCCTGCAATTATCTCTACAACTCTTCGTCCACAGAACATAATCTATCCCAAGGAAACCCATCAACATCTAGAGCTCAAAAGGACACCAGTATATGGCATCCCCAATCACTAAACACCATCAACCAATAATGAACGCCTTAGTTTTCAAGTGCAGCACCTTTTGATAGCACCAAAGTCTCGGGAGCCCATCACCAGCAAATCCGCATTAAGACTCTCCACAACTTCACATATCTTGTCTTTGGGATCTCCAATCACACTTGCGATTTCACAGTAACCTGGAACAGAAATTTCCAGTTCCCATTTGAGATAGAGCTCATCGATGAAGGCAGCAGTTAGAAGCCTGAAAAAATGAAGTGGGAATGAAAACCTTCTATTGGCGACAAATCTCCACGGCGTGATCCAAGATTGCCTGCGTAATTCGTTTCTGGTGCGCCTCAATCGCTGCGGCGAACGCGGGAACCTCAAGATCGACTGATTGAGAATGAGCTCATCGATGAAGGCAGCAGTTAGAAGCCTGAAAAAATCAAGTGGGAATGAAAACCTTCTATTGGCGACAAATCTCCAGGGCGTGAAGTCTTCAATTGGCCCGAATCGCGAGGTAAAAGGAAGATGAAAACCAAATACAAACCGCCTATGAACGGAATATCTCGACGGAGCTGTAAGTCCCTTGACGCGAATCGCAAGCACCGTAATCACTAAGAGGAATCGGTTGAACTGCAAGCTTGTATTTTTGAGAAGAAAAAAAGTGGGGAGAAGAAATCGGAGTTCATAAGGAAACCAAGGGAATACCTCGATGTAGTTGTTAGTCCGAATTGAAGCGAATGGCGAAGCTGAATCGGTCGAACTGCACGTACAGAGAATCGACTGCCACAGCTAATCTTGTGCTTTTGAGAAGAAAAAAGAAAAGAAGTCGGGAGAAGAACGTGGGGAGAAGAAAACGGAATTCAGAAGGCAACCTCCATCAACCGAAGCGGGGAGGGAAACCGTCGGCTGAAATCCCATCCACGTCAGCTCACCGAAATCAGGCGGGACTCTCTTTTTTTTCCTGCTTAACACTCTGCCACATCAGCTTCCTAAAATCACTCTATGGGCAGGAAATTTTGAATGGGGGGTGCAGTTTTACTTTTCAGCTATAAATTATACTGTTGACGCTTTCTATTATTTTTAAAGTTTAGGGGGGTCATGGCCCCTCTTAAGTACAAGTTGGCTCAAGACGCAGAGTGTGGGTAGCATAATTATAAGCATTAAGAAGACTCAAGACTCACAGTTTCAAGACAGAGTTGAGAAGCTGGGCTTTGTGACGTGTCGATGCCCCATTTTGTGGGGTAGTGGCTCCCATGTAAACTATGTAAACTCCATCTTTGCCTGCCTTGGCTGTTGCTGCAGAGTCTCCCAAGGAAAGCAGTAGGGCAACGCAAAGAGCATAGAACAGAAAGAAATGGGTCTTCATGGCAACTTGCAACTAAACCTTATGGTTGTATTTAAGTTTGCTAGCAAGCAAGGCTATTTATAGGAAGAAAATGGTTTTTTTTGGTTGGCAGAAAGTCATAGATCAAACGACCAGATTAACATCGACTCAAAGTGCGCTATTGATCATGGTGGCTACCCATTATAGGTAATGGTGGTGGTGGTGGAGGTGGTGAAACTTGGTGGTGACTCATAAGTGCATGATGTGATCCTCTATGCAACCGTAACATGAGCACATAATGTTCATATTCGGAGTAGGACTCCTCGTGATAAACGTTATTTTTTTTTTAAAGATTTAAGTATGGGTTAAGAAGTTATAAAGGCTTCCGTTCTGTTAGCTACTCGTAGTCTCATAATTTTTTCCAATTTTCTTTTGAATTCGAAGATAATGAGTATCGTCCCAGCGAGATGAATCTCGCTCTTTTATCACATTAATGCAAAGTTATTTGCCCTCTCCAACTAATCCATGAAGACTGCATGTTTTCCAAAAAAAAATCTTACTAAATAAGTCAAGATATGGTTAACACAAAAGATAACTACTAACTAGTGATGGCAATGGGGCCGGGCGGCGAGGCGGGTATCTCAATACTCATATCCCGTCTCACGCTACTACAGATCGGGGCGGATAATATCCATGAGGGTAAAGGGCGGGGCGGGTCGACTTTCTTTTACATTTTATATGAAAAATATACACGCAGAATTTATTATTTATGATTAAACGAAGGGAAAATACTTTGTGAATGAAAAATAGTGATAATAGAACGGGTAATTAAGTCTAACTAGTTCAAATATGGAGTCTAAATAATTGAAGAAAAGTCAAAATATGAGAAATATGAATAGATAATGTAAGAAATTGGCGTACAATGGGCCAAGAACGGGGCAGATCGAAAATAGATACTCATGCCCCGTCCCACGCTACTGCGGGTCGATAATACTTGTCCCACCATAGGTCAGATCGGATAATAAGCACGGAGCGAGTTTAAATTGCCAGTATCACTACTAATTTAATTAAGTTCTCTTAAATCCACATTTGTGTTAAGATTTAAGTGCCTCTGTCACTAACTCTCCCGATACTGCAATCTGAATCCATCCAAACCTTTAGCTAAAGATGGAAACCTAGCAACCCAACACCAGAGCTTTAAAATATATTATTAATTATTAAACTTGGGGCATTTATGTATTTAAAGTATTCCCCATTTCAATTCAATTATACATACATAGAAATTTAGGGAAGCAAAGTCAGACTCCAAGTTACGTAGTGGACCATTCTGAAAATGCACTCACATGTCTCAGTTACCCTATCAAGGAATCTAGTGGTGGTCTGGTGGAAATAAGTAGAAATTAGGAGAGGTTGTAGTCCCACTCAACTTTAAAATACAAGTGAAATTATATTTAAGTTTTGTACAAATTTAAAAATTAAAATAATCGATAAACGTTTAACCTCCTTCTCCATCAATTACCATAATTTAAATCAGTCGCTGATTTAGATTTTTAACTCAACCACTAAAGAAATTGATAGGAAGATAATTGTAAATGTTTTCTTTAGTCCGCTCTCCATGGTGGATAGGGTTTTTTCTGATACAGGTAAAGTGGCAAACCAATTGCTTTGTCTAGTGTTCATCTACTTGACTTCAGCAAAAAAGTGCCCCATTAGAATCTAGAAGGTTATTCACTCAACAATAAGCAGTACTTAACCACTATGTTAAAATATATATATGGCAAAGGCTAGCGTATGCCCGGGCGTACCTTAATCTACTGTACGCCCGTTGAGTTTTGCTATTTAGACACTATATAAATAAGATAACAGTAATAATTGGTATTAGTAGTAGATCGGCACATCCTAGAACCAATTTGGAGTCGGAGACATGATAACACTAATAAGCTGGAGCAACTCCCATTCCCAGTGGTTATTAGTTATTACTTTTTTTTTTAGATTTTTCCAGAAATAGCACCTTTAAAAAAAATTACAAAACTAGCACCCTTCCAAAAATATGTACAAAACTAGCACCCTTTTTTTGGACCGCACCCTTGTGGTGCGTTTTATATATAAACCGCATCCTGCAGGTGCGGTTTATATATAAACCGCACCTGCAGGATGCGGTCCATTTTCCTGGGGCTAAACCGCATTTTGGCCATGCGTTTTCACGTCTGCCTTACATAAAACGCATGGCCGAGGTGCGGTTTTGGCCTGACCTAGGCAAACCGCACCTTAGAGATGCGGTTTATTCCTCCAAAAGCAAACCGCATGTCTAAGATGCGGTTTATGCACATAGACCGCACCCCCAAAGTGCAGTCTGTGTGTCAATAATTTTCCGACACCCGACAATCACCCATGCAGAAACACAGACGTAGGGCTGCATGGCAGACCAAAACCGCACCTCTAAGGTGCGGTTTTCCTAATTTTTTTGCCTATATAAGACTGCCCGAAAAACCTCTACTCTTCACACCTCTCCATCTCTCTTCTCATTTTTCTGTTGTATCTCTATATTTCTTTAGCGATCGGTCGCATCAACGCAACCCTTCACCGGTACTTTCACTCCCAAATGACTGTGGATGAAATGAACCCAACCGGGCATACCGTCACAATCCTCGGGGGGATGATCACTCACGCACACCGGTTTGCCGTCGATGGGCAGATGGGTTAGGATGGCAACATCCTTTAGCGTGATGGTGGCCTCTCCTTCTCTAAAGTTGAAACAATGGGTCTCCTTTCTCCATCTCTCGGCTAATGCGGTGATGAGTTGGCGACCGACTTTGATGCCGTTAAAATGCCTAATCGAGTCTAACCGTGCCCTTTTGAGAAAGGGAAAGATAGCTGGGTGGAATGGGAGCACATTGGTGGTACCCCTGTAGCGGATTATTGTTTGTGCCTCCTAGCGAAAATTTAAAACGTTAATTATTATATATTAGTAAGGGTTTTTTTTCTTATAACTAAATAATTAAATTAAATTATGCGACATCAAGCAGAATTTTATTATCATAAAAAGATATTTCATATTATCATAAAACAAACGTCCTAAATTAATTAACATAATAACATTGTAAATGAATAATAATTTAAAGAGGTACATACATACTATCGTAAAACAAACATACTAAATTAATTAATATAAATAACTTTGTTAATGAATAATAATTTAAATAGAAACGTACATATTCAAAATTTTGAAATTAATAAAATTCTTTTTGTGCACATAAAAATAAATCGTATTGGTTGTTTGGTAAATAATTTAATCGTATTGGTTGTTTTAAATAATTTAATCGAATACAAAGCAACACTCGTTGGACTCTTAGAAGAGGTATACATCTTCTTAGAAACGCAGTCTTTTTGATAGAAAAAGGGGGGATCCGAGGATCTCTTAATACCCGATATTCCCAGGTAATGGGAGGATATGATAATCGCTTAAAACCCCATTTCCTTAGACGTGCATCTCTTTACAAAGAGTCGAAGTAAGTGGCGCTATGTATTCGATTAAATTATTGAAAACCACCAACACGATTAAAAAATCAACATAAATTTATTTTATATTACACTAAATACATTAACAAAATAAAAGAAGGACAAATGGTGAAGAATTGTATATACCGGGTGATCGTTCCAAACATCCCTTGACCGATGGTTGGGTTGGTCGTACAAGTCGGTTGGATCCAACGGTCCTTGCTCGAGATAATACCGTTGGTTGTATATATCGACGTCCTCTCCAACCTACGAGAAAATAACAACGAGGTTAGTACATAGATTAATTAAAAAGCTTATAACAACAACAAAAATTAAACCAGAATAATGAGTCCGTACCGCTTGAAATTCATCAACATAAACTCCTTCTCCTTGCCACCAATCGGCCATTTTTTTGGCGCAATTCGGACAGAGCTTCGGCTCGGCTCGGCGGGTTTTGAGGAAAAAACCTAAGAAATGTTTTCTGATGGCAGATCGGACTTAGCCGCAACCAACAGACCACTATTTCCTAGGCTTTTGGGAGGGGGAGGGTTTAGAGAGATAAATTGTAGAGAGAGAAGGAAGAATGGGTTGTGGTGTGAAGAAATGAGAGGGGAAGGGGGGTATTTATACCCAACAGACAGCACCCTCCAGGGGCGGACGGGTAATTTTGCCCTAAGGGAAACCGCACCCTCCCGATGCGTTTTGCGCTTCCCTAGGGTTGACCGCATCTCGGGCATGCGATCTGCATTCCTTGGTGCGGATCGCTCCGCTGGCAAGCGTTCAGCCGCCCGATCGCCCCTCCATCAAACGGTCTTGAAGACCGTTCCGCAGCAGCAGTAAATCGCACCCCCCAAGTGCGTTTTGTGAACTGGAACGCATCCCTATGATGCGTTCCAAAAAAATTGGTGCTATTTCTGTCAATTTTTTCATTTGGGTGCTAGTTTTGTAAAAAAATTTTAAAGGTGCTATTATTGGAAAAAACTCTTTTTTTTACATACATAGAATCTACAAGTATATAGATAGCTGAATATTTTTTTCTGCATCTCATTCAAATATTCCTACAACGAAAGTGAAACTATGAAAGGTATTTTTGTCTTCACAATGATCTATTTGTTTCTCATTTATTCTTAAATGAATACACATACTAAGATTTGAGCCATGGGCATTTTCAACTTTGATAAGAATCTTAACCAATCATACTACATAGATTAGTTGTATCATTTTAAATAAAAAACATACATGAAGCTAAAATTAAAATATCACAGAACTTTTCAACAGTTCGCTAAGGTTGCTAAACCTTCGCTCGGTACTTATTGGTGTTTTGATACTTCGATTTTCATATTTAATTATTTTAATTATACTTTAATACTTAATTTAAATTTCTATTTATCTTATAAAAAGACGATAACTTTAAAATTATAGACCAAATATCATTGGTTCAATATTACATATCGAATTGCAATATCGAATGTGTTGAAGCGATGTTAAACTCCTGCATTAGTATTAGTTTATAGAAATACTATGAGGCAATTCATATCTTTCTG